TATATATATATATATATAGTGTGTGTGTGTGTGTGTGTGTGTGTGTGTGTGTGTGTGTGTGTGTGTGTGTGTGTGTGTGTGTGTGTGTGTGTAAAAATGATAGTTATAAAGTTTCAAAGGAAATATATTAAGAAAATTTTTTTCTTTTAGCTTACAAAAATGATAAAAATGAAAAATATGATATGGATTATCAGACTACAGTTAAAGATAGAGAAGTCATAACAAATACAAGCAATGTTTTTGAGATGCAAAAACGAATTGACGAAGCAGAATTAAAAATTGCATCTGTAAGTCGAAAAAACTTATTTAAATATCAATTAATTTAAGTTAAAATAAAACATAAAAAGGAATGTTTATTTTATAGTTGCAACAGACGATCCAACGATTAGAAGTAGAACGAGATCATTATAGAAAGGAATACATAAATTGTGATGAACAACGCAAATCAGCTGATAAAGATACCGTAAATATTAAGTTAAGAAAAATATATATGTAAAAAGTTATTATTTTGTTCTCTAACAAATTGCAGGCCGAATTATGGACACAAATTTGTGAATTAAAAAGCGAGTTAAGCCGCAAGGAATATGCTTTAAATAACGTACAGCGAGAGAAAGAAGAATTATGTCAACAAAAAAAGGAAAATCTGGAAGCGCGACTGCAAACATATAAGAATCAACAGTATATTCCTTGCAGATCATGTTTGTGCAAACCCGTTTGTATTTGTACTTGTGCCTCTGGTTCGCCAATATCTGCCAAAGATATTAGCACAGCAAAGGTATTCAAAGATTACAAACAAAATATATATAAATACAAAACAGTATTAAAATTTCAATTTAACAGATAATGCATGAACATTTGGAACGAGAACGGGATACAGCTAAAGCAGATGTTGAGCGACTGATAGAAGAACGCGATGCATTACGGGAGAGACTTAAGGTAGATAGTTAAGATTGTACATTTACAAGTTAATTAATTTTATATTATTTTTTGTTGATTTCCTCAATGTATTTAAATTTTAATATATTGTATTTTAATTTTAATGTATATATGATATAATCTCTTATAACCATTTCATTAATTACGTGTGTAATGACCATGTATGAAATTAACGTAATTATATTATTAATTTATTAACATTAATTTCTTAATATAACGCGGTGTGGGTATGATAATGTGTTGTGAATGCATGGCTGGATAGATGATGTCGGAAGTGCACACATCCGAGCAACTCCATCTTAAGGAAAATTTAACCGAGACGGAGAATCGATTAAAACATATAGAAAAAGAACGACAAGATCTCTTGGTCACTCAGGGCACGAAAAGAGCAGCGATAAACGGTCTTGAGGATCAATTGGACGACATACAAGAGGAATTGCGTCGTACAAAACAGGAATTAATGGCACAACGAACGCAATACTTCCAATTACGGTAATATATTTGATTTTATTTGTAGAAACCGAATATGATCTTAATCTCCTAAATTCTTCAACGCAGAACTCTGCAAGATCAAACAGATCAAGCTCTTGGAGACGCGCAGAATCAATTGTCGCAAGCAGAATCAGAGTTAAACAAAGCTATGGATCGCAATAGAAATATGGAGCAGCAGCAATCGCAATTGAACGATCAAATCAAGGGACTGAAGCAAGAGATAAACACTCTGCGCTCGAACATGACGCTTTTAGATCAAGAGAAAGATCGTCTATTGGTAAATGCAATATTATAATGAATTGCGTTGCTATCGTGAATGATAATTTATAAAATTGGTCATATTTTATTATTTCTGCAGATGGCATTGGATGAAAAGACAGAGAAGATCGCCGCGTTAGAACGAGAATTGATGCACAAGGATCAACAAATGGAGGGGGTACAACAACAAATCCGCGACTTACAGCATAAAAACGAGTGAGTAAATCTGTATTTATTTACAATTTTCGATATTTCTAGATAAATTGGCACATATTTCTTATGAGAAGCTTTTGTAAGTCACAAACGATATTTACAATGCTTAAGAGAGAACACAATAAATAAAGCCATATAAGATAAAATTATTAAAAATAATTCTTATAACTTTATATACAAACTTAAATTAATTGTTAAATCAGTCATTCTCTTAACTGAAAAGTTTGACACACCGCGTACATTCTTCACTAAATAAAAGAATGTAATTTGTCGAATATTATAAATGCCGCATAACGCGAATTGTATGAGTTATTGAATTATTCAGATCACCACTGATTTGACGTTATCATTGAGAAACTTTGCCAAGCTCACCGCGGGTGGCTGGCAACTGTTCGGCGAGATCAGATTGTTGTTTTCCAACTCTTCAGAGTTCTGGATGATTCTTTTGTAACCAGGTCGGCACTCACATCTGGCCTTCGCTCGCGGTTCTTCCTGTCGCCATAGGCGACCATTCCTTGGTGTCCTCTGAGCGACCAACCATTCTCCTGCGGTACACGGGCCCTGTGTGTACAGTTTGTAACAGGTTTTCTTGATCATCACCATACCCGGTATGCTCTCACAATCATCGCTATCATCCTCCAAACATTTGCCGGCGTCTCTCATAATGTTGGTACAACCGCACACGCCATTATAACTGATCCCATCAAGGGATGGTCTCACGTTGTAATCGTACAACACTATTTGTCCGTTCGGACACGGTCCTCTTGTACCGAGCTTGTAGCAGGTTTTCTCCTGAGGAAAGTACAATCTACCGCGTTTACATGGCACGGGAACACAAGTTGACGAATTTATCAGCATGTAACCGCTCTCGCAGGGTCCCCTCGTGTGTAACCGATAGCAGATGCCATCTTTGTACAATGCATGGCCCGATTTGCAAACGCATTTAGCTCGTACAATATCCTCCTGTGATAATCTGCCATCCATTGTCACCACAAAATGATGTCCTTGCGGACACGGACCAACGCCGCCTGGTAATAATAATAGCTTTATGGTTACAGTATAGAATAGAATATTAGATTGAAATATAAATGCACGCAAAATTGTATTATTTTATCAGATTTCCATTTTTATAAGTTGGTCGGGTTTTATTATTTGACTAAAAATTATTCAATCGTCTCACCTAACTGATAACACATTCCGCTCGGTTCGTAATAGTGAGGTAATTGAGGATGACAACCACAGGTCCCACCTGGCAGAAACAATTCTCCCGGCTCCGCGCAGGGACCTTTGGTGTAGTGTTCGTGGCAACCACCGCCGTTTCCTATCCAATGATATCTACTCAATTCGCCACTCGTTGAACACGAACAGGTCGCTAATCCGTCTTCGCCTATGACGAGAAGCTCGCCACGCGGACATGGACCTCTGCTAAGCTTCGGATAGCATTTGCCATCTCTAGGCCAGTAGATTTCGCCTTGTTCATTGCAAATCTCAGGATTACGACAGACTCCCCATCGTGGTTTCGTGCTGAGAAAGTTCCATACAAGAGGTTTCCAATCGGTTTGTGAACGAGCGTGTTGTTTGAAAAGAGAATGTGTTTCATTTACCCTAATTTATCGGGCACGTCGGGTACAGGTGCAAAGAATTGACCCTTGAAGCAGGATGCTCTCGTGAATATCGGATGGCACAATGCGTCCCTAGGCGATTGCGCGGTTCCCGGGGGACATCGGCATTCCGCAATTGTTCCACCGCTACCGGCCGCGGGACCCAATTCCATAGTTTCCGGACATGGGGCGCCGATCTATCATGAATAATGATTATGATTTTCAAAGGTGAATGACATTTTTAAATAAGTCTTAAAAACGGCTGCCGTAAGTCAAGTCACTTAGAGAAATGTAACTTTTGAGAAAAAGGGAGATTAGCACCTGCCTGGAATATTTTGTAGCATTTTCCATCGGATGGCCAGTATAATAATTGCCAGCCTCGTGGTTGCGCGGCACAGGGGTTGCTCGAGGGATCGGCCCACGGTGGCGGCATTATCGCGGTCCTCGCATTAGCCGCTGACAGAAGGCAAATGATGCTCCCTAGGAGAATCCGCATCGCGCTGAAAGGGATAACATTATTTCAAATCTGCAAAGGCAAATTATTTTGCGATGAAGAATATTAACACACATTGAATACCGATAATGATGATGGATGAAACTCGTAAATAATAATATTTAATATAGATAGTTTAAAAATAAGAAATGTACATATGAACAAATGTGATCAGTATTATTTTTAATTAATTTAATTCTTAATAAATCCGATACTCAATGTGTTAATAGCTGAGGACGTAAAAAAAAAAAATCACGCCAAACATGTAGCGCAATTAATTAATTACAAATCGCGAAATGACGAGTACTGCATGCGCGGTAATAATATTACCTTTCATCTTCAAGAAATGTGCAGAAGTAATTTCACTGAGCGTTGCAGGTGGAGAGTGGCTTGAGAGACGCGGCATTCAAAACGGGACTATCGCGATAGTGCGAAATGTCGATGCGTGTGTCGTCTGTGCATTGCGTGCATGCGTGCGTGCGAGCGCACGAGTGGGACCGGAGCAGAAGAGGTGCGCGCGACAACGAGGGCGAAATGACCATACTTTCACTGTTTCACTATGGCAATGGCATTGTCCCTGGCGGCAGGACTTAGGATGACAACACGTGCGCGGAATGAGAATAATAACGCCACGTACAAAATGCTCCTCGCGTCGCAGAAAGCAAAAGGTCTTTTCTCTTTTTTTCTTTCTTTCTTTCTTTCTTTCGTCTCCCGCGTTTTTCGTTGACCGGAAGATTACGCGAGGATCTTGCGGTTTGAGTCTTGAAGCATAACGGTTTCGTCTGTCCGAACCACTCTATTTTATTTATAATTTAATCCGAAGTCTATTTTTAAGCCACAATTTCAATGACATTCTGAATCTGTTATGTTGCACATAATTCCCTGACTTATTTGCACGATATATTTAACGACGTATTACACGCGCTGTTGATTCAGAAAGAAACGCAGCATCTCGTGTCTTTTTTTTTTTTTTTTTTTTTTTTCAAAGTCGAGGAAGTAATTAAACAGCATGAGGTCTTGTCAACGTCTCAATGCCGCTGCTGGTCGAGCTTTCTTCCGCGACTTTCCATGGCGGCCACGAAGCCGAGAGTTTTGTTCTCCTCGCAATCACGTTTTTTATTAATCGCGCCGGCATCTAAAATTTATCTCACGGCTGTTCTAATTAACGCAATGGCTCATCCGGTATATGCCGAAACAATCCTCATAACGCGTTGTCAAGATGATCGCAATCCGATGCAATGTATTTTCACTTTCCCTTTAGATAATTTGCACGAATTTTACAAATCACGTCATTTGTAGAATGCAAAACGCTCGTGTTCTGGAAGTAATCGCGTTAGCCGCTTCTTCGTAAGCATGATAAAGACGCCACGCGGAAAGAGATATTTCCTTTTCCACTCTCCAATTAACGCCGCGCGTCGCTGAATCGCTTTAATAGTCGAGCGTGGATAGATGGGCGAGATTATTATCTCTGTGTTACACTCGTCGTCACTCGCCGTGAGATTCCTCTGATCGATGCCCGCAGGTGCGAACGCGCGCCGTTACACAATCGTCTAATTAGTGACCATCCAATGGGAGCGAGTTACATCAGAACTTTCTCGTTTACAGAATTTCGTTCTTCGTAACGAGCGAGCGGGAGACAAGTGATGAAATATTTCATCTAATCGCGATAAATGCGTTGATATTTTTCCCTTAAAAGTAAGGGGAAAGGGGTCTTAACATCTTTAACAAATATAAGATTCCGAAAATTAAAATATCTGATTGAAGACTAAAGATGTGAATTACTTCAATGAATGCAATGATAATAATTAAGTAATTCAGGATAAGACGAAACTTTGCAGATTCGAGGAAACTCGAGGATAATCTAGATTTTAATTTTATAATTTATAGAAGTGTGAACAATTGCGTTACGCAAACATATCTAAGAACATATCAGTAGCAGTAATTGGGTAGCAAGATTTGGTGCAAACTGCCTAATACAATTCTTTTCAGATAAGTCTCAACGAGAGGATAAACTTACATAAGACATTGTCAGAAATTAAAAATTTTTATCTCTCTCGAAAAAAAAAAAACCATGAATTTCTGCTATTCGACCTTATTGCTGCCTGCCTTGCGGCAATGATATTTCCTATAAATGTACCAATAACTTATGCAACGTGGGATATGTTGCATAATTGTATTACATTACTTTTTTATTACATATTCAATTGTTATCAAAGTTTTGTCCTGAGTATGTGCGCGGATCTACAATATAATAATATTGTAATAATATGAGATGAGTTTTTTTCTACGATAATGCAATGAGACAAATTTATTTTAAAAGGAATTTAGAAAGAATAAAATTTATTTTAGAAGAGAAAGAATATAGTTGAACATAGTTGAACATAGAACAAAACTATTTTTACATATTTCTTTTCTCATTATACATTCATAGCTCGACATATTTGAATTATTTTTTTCATTTTCTCATATGATTATCACTTGCTCGATACTTAAAAAAATTTTTTTTAATTTTAAATTTAAATTTTTTTAAATTTAAAATTTTTTTTAATTTTAATTAATTGTGATTTTAAAACACTTAATAGTCTCTTTTATAGTCTTGATAACTTTTGAAAGAAATCACAATTTTTAAAAATTTAATAACTCATGTAATTATGTCTTGATTACCTGTTTAAATTGCGAGGGAACTACATATTTAATCATTTTTTTAACATTTGAATACATTGAAAAATTTTACACAGCTTACATTTATAATTTATTTATTATTAATTTATTTATTTTTTAAATTAAAATTTGAGTAAATAAATTTTGATCATACTCACTCATCTCGTTAAGTGCGTATTCTCTCTAAATATTTTGGATTATATGAAGTAGTCGTTGTAAAGTACAAATGCGCAACATAATAATTTAAATGGAAATACAAAACTAACTGTAGCAGATGTTATTTACTTTACACGCGGCTTTCAGGGTATCATTTGGATAAAATTATAATGGTGAAACAAATTACGGTATATTCCAGCGGACCCGCGACACCTCTGTGAGACACGCGTTATTACATTTATTTATTCGTCATGATTTTACTTTCTTCGCCAGATGTACTTTCTCCATCTTCCGTGTCGTTAAATTGTAATAATAACCAGTTATTACTCGAGTCAGTCGCTTTACACGCATACACGAACGGTGGCCGACTCGCGTTCGCAACTCGCGGTCGCGCTACGAGAAATTCTAGGATATTTCGGATTGCTTCGATTATCATTAAGATTGCGCTTATATAATCACGCGTGCCCGTGCCTCGGAAACACGACGGTGGATTTACGTTCCCCGTAAAAAGAAAGTGTCTGCTAATACATTATAATCGATCTCGCGTCGCGTAGAAATCACGCAATACAAACAACGCGATCACGTAACATCAGTCGCGATTTTTTGCTCGATGGAGCTCGCCGCGAATTTTTTATTTAATCTCTCTTCCCCATCCCTCTCTCTTTCTCTTTCAAGTATTTGAGCTTAATGTTTCTGAGACGATGAATGGGCATTTCTTTGTTCAATCTTACTGTAATTTTCTTAAGCTCTCATAAGATGAAATTCCACAGGATTCAAGGACCATCGCCGATATCGTCCTTTTGCATCCGACGGTCGCAGTTCTGATACAGTGAAAGGATCGATTTGTTTAACCTTTTGAAGAAGATTTATGTAATGAACGTTATTTAATCCCGGACTGGACGTTGGGCTATTTATCATAAGCGCGATGCGCTTGTCTTCATCGAGCGATTCAGTTTCCTGCTGGAAACTTACCTCATCATCGACGTCTTCATAGCGTTGTTGTTCGCCAGCGACGATAGCGATTGTTGTCACGTCACCGTTTCGCGAATGATCTTTTCTCTCGGTTCACCACTCGATCCTCCGCATCCCATATCAGAGGCCCGCGTTAAGCCGTCGTCATCGTCGTCGTCGTCGTCGTCGTCGATCTTATCGCCGCGGAAAGCTCGGCGAGACTGACTCGCGCTCGTCCCGGCTTCGCGGCTCTATGTTGTTACCTAACTCGACCGAATCCGCCGGTGAGATGGACACGATCCTCCTCTATTTCGTCTAGCTCCGTGACTAATACCGGGTGCAATCCGCGGGGAAAACCGTCCTGACGTGCCTCCCGCGACGAAAAGGTATTTTTCTCTCCTTTACCCCACATTCTTATGTCCTTTCGTATCATAGCTTGCGTGACATCCGGATCAAACGTAATTTACGCCGATCGCGTAGAGCATAGAGAGACCAGTTTCACGTTGGCAAATCTAAAAATTTGAACAGATACATAAATCTGAAAATGACTTTGTTGAAACATCAAAATTATTAAGGATGCTTAAAATTTTTAATTTTCGAGCAATCAATTTGAATATTGTATATAATAATTTTGAAGGTCGAACAAAATTATTTTCGGATCTGTGTCTGGTCAAAATTTTTAGATTTGTTAGCAAAGGTTTTCTTTCCGTGAGTGAACTCCAATTTGTCATTTGTGAAATTTTCTCGCGTTACTTACGATATTGAAACTGACGGAACGCGACGGTACTTTGCAACATTTCACTTCGCGGAAGTTTACATTCATGTTCGCGAGCTTTCAAGTCACCGGGTGGATGTTTTTTGGAAGGTAGAAAGTTCAATGTGCATTGTATTCATGGCGATTTCACGTTGCGGGATCTGGTACTTCCCGATGTAAAATCTGTGCGAAGATATGTGCATTCGTTTTCTTGCAAAACGCGACAGCCGCATTTAAGGAAGCGTAGAGCATCGCGTTTTATATCCGGTTCGACAACAATGAGATCTTTGCGCGAACAGCTACGAGGGAGAAGAGATCAATATTCCGCGCGTGGGATGTCGAGAAACGCAGATTCAGTGAGATCATCTACAGCTCGATTCCATTTACCGTACGGGACTTTGTCATCGATGCAATTGCAAATAGAAATCTGCCTTTGTACATAATTTGCTACATCATTTGAACTGTAATAATATTAAATCCGATGAACATTTCAGGAAAACCGTTGAAAAAAGTCACGATGAAGGAAACCGGTTTCGATTGGATTCATCTCCTTTTTTGCGCAATGTCATGATTGTCCTCCGGCTTGCTTCTCCAAGGTTTTCCCAAAAATTGCCATTGCGACACTATCACGCAACATTTCTGTTACACGAGGACTTTCATCGTTATCGGACCACTCGAAATGCCGTTGTCGATCAGCGACGATCGTTACGGCTTGCGACCGATGCGTGGGTTTCTTTATGAACTGTTGCATAATTCGGTACCGGTCCTGAAGCCGAACCCAGTAACGGGAACTGCATAACCATCTTTGACGTACATCCAATTTCGATGAGAAGAGGCGATGAACGGATCATTGCCACATTTCTCACGAAACTGTCGCTGTTACGTCATTTTAAATTACCGTGGCCTTGAGAAGTTACGAGACTGTTCCAAATTGGGCAATCAATGGGCATTTTACGAGAAATATAAAGATTTTACATTTTTCTAAATATAGTAAATTTCTATTAATGCATAGGATAGGCTCTACATTATATTTGCGTACGAGATTCATCAGAATTCATACAAAATATGTTTATATATATAAATATAAAAAAATTAGAAGATTTCATATCCTAAAAGAAATTATTTATATTTAAAAAAAAAACAGAAAAGCTTAAAATTTTTATTAAATTTATAAGAAAATCTTAGTAATAACGTAGAATAATTATAAGACACTACAAAACTTTAAACCTAATAAAATTATTAATAATTTAATAGAAAAATATATAATTGATATAATTATAACGTATTTTTTTACTTGAAACACTTTTCTTTTTCCTTGCGCTTTGATAAACAAAACAGTAGAAACGGAGAGCTATATTTTATTAAAGTTTATGTCGAATAGCATCGGATTACATTTATTCAGTTTTAAATGCGTTGATGTTGCAACGGTTGCTTCTTTTACGCATCATCTCTTCGCCTCTTCTCACATAACTTTGGGTTCGAAGAAACGTGCAATGCCCTTTGCCTATAACGGTAATGCTATACAAACTAGAGAATCTCCGAAAGGGCGTACCTCTGCCTTTTTACACAGTCTCGTGAACTAACTATGAATAACAAAGCCGGTTCGTATATCTTTGTACTGTCATGAACTTCTTTCTATTTAGGAATCAAAGAAAATGTAAGATTTTAACTTCATTCCTTCATAAGTTTTAAACAATCAAATATTCATTGCAGTGCATAATAATGTGTTGAAAATAGCACTGTTGGAATTAAATTCTCATAATTCATTCGTTTTCAGCTTCGAGGTCAAAGCCTCTGATACTTCGATGAAGAAAACTCCGATGATTGATGGGATTAAAATTTTAGACGTCGAATCAATATAGCACTTGCAACATACAGCTTCTTTAAAACGGTCCCGTAGTGGGCTCAGTACCGCTTGATCCATCAGTTTTGACATGTACGGCTTTGTGAGGCAATTGTGGAAGGGAACAGTGAGAGGTCCAACGGACACTCCTTAGGACGATGCATTCTCTGACTCATCTTTCTATGAAGGTTTCGTCACTTTTGGTAAAAATATTTCTCTATGCGAATGCAGATTTTACCTCCAGCTAAACGATCTTCGATATGAAACTTACGCCGTTACTACGAGCGGATTTTATGCGAATAGAAAACGCGAGTTAAAACCATCGGTCTATCATCCATGTGACAACTTTCACATGTGTAATAAAAACTACATCGACTATTGTCGATTATTAATATCTGAATCGTGCAGATTTCGTCGGTGACAGATTATACCGTAAATCGCGATGAGCGAACTGCATATAATCGATTTCACAGAATAGAGAGATGTGCCTGGTACAGCTTTGTAATTAAGTCAGTCCGAAGCTGCCAAGTCGATTATTCCGATGTCGCGGGGAACATCCTTGTACATATATTAAGAGAGCGTTTTGTAGAGCACTTGCGATGCTTTCTATGGTACTTTTCCTTTTACGCTATCGTCGTGAACTTTCCTTCTGAACGCGTCGAGGAAAGAGAGAGCGAGACGCAAACTTGAGAAGTCAAGAGGAAGCGAGGCAATAATAATTAAGTGACGAATTGCAGCCAATTGAATCGAAGACTTGCAATTTGAAAATCTGCATTATCGAAATGCATGCAATTCGCGACTTCTCCACGTCTATTTATATAGCTTCGGAATGCCTCGCACCGGAAATCTTCCGCGTCAGAAAGTACAAGTAGGAAAAAACTGGTAAACTCGCTACCGGAATCGCATTTATGGCTGGAAATTTCATCATCATTATTACTCTCACGACGAAACTCTGTCGCTTGTAGAGGAGAAATTTATCTCGTCTCGTCGCAGGCCTGTGGAAATAAAAATCATTTCTTCGAGTACCGCGAATGCATTCTTCTGTAACATCCGTGACATAATTTCCATCGTTATTATCGCTGAGATGATAATCCGTCCCGAGGCGTGACGGCGGACGAATCGCTAAGCGTATGCACGCGATCAAACCATGAGAAAATTGATTATACGAGTCCACAACATTACCCTCAGTATTATCGAGGTAACGAGATAAATTTCCCGGCTAGCTTGAAGGCGCCCACATATTATTGACCCTAATTCTTTTCATCTCCTTGATCCTTGATACTCTCAAAATTTTATTAAATTCTTTGCTCTTTTCCATTAGAGCCGTCTTCAGGCCTCACAATTGTGGAATTAAAGAATTTTTTACATTCCAAAATTCTCAAAGTTTTTATTTTCTATAAATATTAATTCACGAAACTAATTAGAAAATTAAAATCATACAAAGTTCTAAATTAATAATTATGTGTCATTCGGACGCTTCGGAGATTTTTTTTCTCAGCCATTTTCAGTTTACCATGTGGAATCAGAAATTTTTTAAAAAAATTATCAAAATCTTTATTTCTCATCACCATCATTTTTATCCATCGTGAATTTCACTGCTTTTTGCGATTGTTGACGATATATGATAACGAGCCTTTCCCTCGAGTGGAATCCGCGGAAAACGCTTTTCTCGATTTGCGCGCAATTTTCACTTTTATGCTCCGGATCAGACCGCTCCGCGGAAGGCGGTTGTTGTTGCCGTTTCTGTTCCTGCCGAGGAGGAGGAACAGAACCCGGCAAGAGAGGCGAGAGAAAGTCGTTCGGCGCCCGGGTCTTTTTCGCTCGCACGCGCCACGACCACGTTGCAGGTCTCTCGCGATTACGCAAACTGCGCCGCGCGTAATCGGCGCGCGGATGATCGATGGTCCACGCGTTTGTCTCCATCCGTCTCCGCGAGGCTTTGACGAGCTCGAACTTTATTGAGCGATTCGTTTTCGTTCCGCCGTTGCGTTGTTAGCCTGTCGAAAGTTGAAAAGTTGATTGACTTTCGATAGCATGCGTCGACGTTTTCCGCGATGAAAGCTGCGGAATCTCTCGGTTCCACGGTCCTATCGAGAAAATCTCATCTGGGATGCTGCCTAGGATGCTGTTATTCAGTTCGAAATCATTTGTATACGTCGGTCCTGCGATTTGCGCGTAAGAGAGCGGGCATATATGTATGAATAAATAAATATTCCGTCGGTTTCGCCTTCGGCGAATTATTGAGGAAATTGCAAGCGTTGGGAAATCCGATCTGTATAAATGACGATACGAAAATCCAATCACGTAGTACTTTATTTCGAGAGAGTTGTGCAAGTTGGGAAATAACGAACGCCTAATTCGCTCGTGTTGCCCTTGTTCCCCTTCGGAAACATAGCTTGCGCCACGAGAAATAAGCCACCTGATCCGCATAAACGATCGCGAATGGATTAAACATGATTATCATACGATCACAATGGAAGAAAGACATTACATGATGAATGATGATGATAATGATGATGATGATATTAAATAGGAATCGTATTGTAATTACAATGCGATTAAGATAACGAGTTATTTATTAGAATGTATCTCTCATTTGTTGCACAACAACGACATAATTAAAAAATTGTAACAGAAAAAGAAGAATGAGTTTTCGAAAGTCTTATGATTAGTCAAGTGACATAATTCAGCTTCTAAATCTTTTGATTGAACAGAGATTTTCATTTTCTAGAGTATCATGAATAAAAAAATGCTTGGTTTTAAGCATATATTTTTGCAGTAGGTGGCAGTTCGATACATTGAATATAATTATTATATCAAAGTTGCATTTAAAAATGATATAAAAAATTTTAGTAATTCAAATTTATTTTCTGGAAAACAATCGTTTTCAGATCAGTAAATGTTTAATCGTTCTATGCTGTTCAATATGATATTAATTACAGGATATGCATTGATCAGAGCGCCGAGCGAGAACGTCAGCTCAGGTCGCTGCAGCTGGAGATGGAGACGGTACAGCGGCAGTTCGAAACCGCGTCGGTGGACCGCGAGAATGCGATTCAGGAGAACCGGAAGCTGCAGGACGACTTAGCGGCGGTGACCTGCGAGGTGCGGAACATGCAACGCGAGCTGGAAATCTCGCGCGCCGAGTGCTATGACCTGAAGCGACAGCTGCAGACTTACGTCAGCGAGGTCCGTCGTGCCGAGGAACTCTTAAATCGAAAGGTGAGGCCAGAAATAAATTCTATTAATAACGTTTATTTCGAATGTCCCTTATTAATATTCGATCTCCCCAGGAAAACGAGAGAACGGAAATGCTGAATCATTTCCGAAGTCTCAGCTTGGAGGCGACGGTTCTGGAGAACAATAATCATAGCTTGGAGTCTGAGGCGGCGGAGGCTAGGGGTGCCCTTCAAACCGCGAGGCATCAGATACTCGATCTCGAGCGTCAGTTAGCGGATAAAGATTGTTTGATAAAAGGCTACGAGACTCAGGTATTTCTCTTTTCACAGAAAATGCGAGAAAACATAATTGTTATTAGTATTCATTTAGTATATTACGATTTTACGTTATAATATTCAGCTGGAAGTAATCTAACTTAAATAAAGACCAACAAGGAATCCCATAAATTTTGAGACTATTTAAATGTTATGTCATTCTCTCATGTGTATGCTTTCATAACTTCTTTAGATAAGCAATCTCACGCAGAGCGTCGCTAGCATGGAGACGCAATTACGACAACAGATCGAACAGAAACATCGAGCCGAGGCCGATCTAATGGCGGTCAGAGACCTGTGCGTGAAGCTGGATCAACAAAAGGATACGCTTGTGGAACAACTCGGTGACAATGACACTGTGAAAGCGCAGGTAAATTTACTTACTCTTTACTGTAGCTGTATATTTTTAACTTTGCTTTTTGCGCGTCAGCGCAAATTGATTTCTCTCCCGATTATTTTTTTCGCGTAGTATGAAGCGCAATTGTCAAGATTGCAAGCCGAGCAGACTATTGTTCAAGATCAGATTACTAGAGATCGCGTGACTGTGGAACGACTGGAGACTCTTCTGGATCAAGCGAGGCAGGAGTCCATTAACGCGCAGGCTACTAATCAAGAGCTGCAAAATGAAATATCCAGATTGAAGCAGAAAGTCTCCGATCTTCAAAGTAAACTGTACGTCCCATCATACTCATTAATTTTATATTACATCTTGTATGTTTATATATGTTCTCATAATTATAGTTCGTTAGAATCTGCGGAACTCAGACAGTATCAGAATCAAGCGGCGGAATACAGCAAACAGATTAGCGAACTTCGTAGACAGGTTACCAACGAGAGGTTTGACCGTGCTAGAAAGGAAGAGGAAAGTCGCAGGTATTTTGTTGTAACCGCAAAAGATGTTCGTCCACAAATTCGTCTCTTCTCTATCGAGTCTCTATCTTTCGTTTTTTCACGTTTGCCTATCGTGATTGTTTCCAAATTTAGAAATTTCAATAAATCCACAATTTCCCTTTAACGAAACTCGATTCCAAATCACTAGATTCTTACTCAACCGGATTTAAAATCTTTAATAAAACGAAAGTATCGATTTCACATCCAGATAGAATCGGAAAATATAATTGCGCTTCAATATAGACCATTGATCAATTAATTATCCAATTATGAATCCGTCAGACCAGAAGTAGATTGGCTGAGAAAACCGTATACTGCGATTCCCAAACGCATGTGCGGTCGTGATCAGATGGACCAACCCTCGTCCTTTTTACTCGAGTGTCGATGTTCCTCCTTTAAAACACGTATTTCCTCCGTCGATGTCGTATCGTGCCTTTCACAATGCAAATCTACAGGCGATACAGATAAAAACTCAAATTCTTCTTAACGGAGAAAGTATCGTAAACATCTAAACATCTAATAACATTTTCTTAAAAGCGCTCTTTTATAAGAATCTTTAGCATTTTTGAAATACCTTTTGTGTTTTATGTGCGTACATGTTTGTAGGAAATATATGAATTTTATTATCTACGTCAATTGCCTTTTTTGATGCGAAGCGATTTACATTATTAATAATGTGTTAATGAATTTCTCGACAGATGAGAATATAATGATAAACTAACATTTGTCTTTTGTTTTTGCAGGTCACTAAATTCCTCTCCAGATAGTTTCAATGTAGATTTAAATGTAGTCATATAGAATATTATATATTATCTTTTGATCTAAAAATATTTGCAAAGAAAAGAAAAGATAATATTAATAGAGTATAACACTGCAAAACGCACAAATTGATTTTGTATGTCAAGCTTCGGCAATATGATTTAAAATTTAATTCGCAGATACAGAGAGAACTATTAAGTACTTCTTAATGATCGTATAAGCTTATGAATACTTGCAATATGTATGTTATATAAACAAAATCTGTCATCCACAAAAATGGATAGGCAAAATTGATGACAAATAGCGCAATTAAGAGATCAAGACTTTTAGAAATAAAAGTATGATTTTTTAGTCGTAAACAAGAATAAAAATAGTATCGTTCGTATATATACTAATTTATCTAATTATGAAATATATCTTGGACCAGTACACGTGGGAAAAATCGAATTGTACAAGCTGTGCTTAGAAATCATATCAAAAATAGATTAAACTGCCACAGGAATTGAATAAGAAATAATTTAAAACTTGGAATATTTTAAAGAATTGTGAATATATCAAATATATAATAGAAAACATACATTGAAAAGAGAAAAAAGCAACAAAAAAGTCACTAATACTTCTATCAGTTTAATCAACATAGATATTATAGTGATAATTTTATAATTTTATTTTTCCGATTTTCTATAAGTCGAGAGAAAAATAATAAATTTGAAATAAAAATTAATTTTATTGAACAAAAAATAAATAGGAGAAATATCATGAATACATATTGAATAAGAATCCTGCAATAAAAATGCTGTTTATACACACATATATATATATGAAAATAATTTAAGTCATAAAGTATTTTGTGATAAATGTGTATCTTTCTAAGTACAAATATATTTTTAAGTTTTTTGTACATCCAACTGATATTGCAATAAATCTTTCCTATATTTTTCTGATTAACTGTACTTACGCTAAAATATAGAGTTTAATAATAATGATGGACTTCGAAAATAATAAAAACGTGATAGACGAATAATTGTTATATTCAAATCCTTTTGTAATATACGTACATGTAGATGATCGTAGAGGAACAAGTTTGCGTTGTCCACTTCTTTTGCCGTTTTCTTTCGATAACTTTTCTTGTCATTTCTTGTCATTTACATATACGACGGAGAGAAAGAAAATCCAAAATAATCAGTTTATATATTTTTCTCATATTCTCCTTCGTATTTAGTAATTTATTATATCGTTCTTTTATTCCTTTACACAGATGTTTATTCAGTTTATTTATGATCTCGATGATCGTACGAAACGGTGAACATGTAAACTAGGTATAATTACAAATAATAAAAATAAAAAGCCTCTCACAAGATTTTCGTCCTCCTAAAAACGTTCAGCTATTAAACTTGTTTTTTATATATTTATATATAAAATACATAATAGAGGCTCGCACAGGGTCCATTATCATACTTTTATGTCTATCCTTAAACGGCCGTTTTGTAATATAAGACGAAACCGTTCCTCAATTGTTTTCTTCGCCGAACCAGTTAAATAATTACAAAAATCCGTTTTTTGCAACTTCTATGTCTTGTCACAATCTATTATAATACAAGAATCTTTTACTTTGTTTCTCTTAAAGACGCATGAAACTTACAATCTTAAGAAATTTACACAGAGTTTTTAACATCATGAATGAAATACAAGTATTATATGTACAGTATTTATATTTTCTATACATATGTATATAGGCATAAATTATATGCATATATATATATGTATATATTTGAATATGATTATAGCTTATTCTTATTTTTTTATGCAATGCAGTGGTGTTTCAAAAAACTCAATAAACAATAAATGCAATCTACGCCGTTCGCGAAATAGTGACGTCCGAAAACATAAAATACTTGTCACTCTAACGCTTTAAATCGCTCAAAATAAACTCATTTTATATAAATTACACATCGAGCTTTCCAATTGATAATCCAAATAATGGACTATATTTTAATCGATTTTACTTGGTTCAAGACTCGAAGAAGTTAATATTTTTAACGGTACCTTCTCTTTTCGCGCACTATATAATATAAAAAATTCTATGATCTTCCAGAGCAATTTGTTTAAAAATAAACGATGTTAGAGTATTATTACGTCAAAAGACAACTTTGTCATTATGCGTTGCAATGATTATTTTACATTTCACGCGATATTACAATAATTTTCATCTATTATTTGCATGAGTTACTTTTACTGATTTGAATTATATTTAATTTAGACATTTAAAATACAGTATGTTTGTAGCCAAATATAAGCTGCCATTAGTATGAAATAAAAGGTATAATTCTAATGGCATTTACAAATATCTCGGCACTATTTCGAGTTAAATAAGAATCAAAGAAAAAATGTTATGATTTATCATGATTTAAAATGTAAGATCTTAGGCCTTTTAAATCCAGATATCATAAAGTTGAAAGTTCGAAATTTGCACATTTATTTATAACTCGTTAATTTATCAACATTGATGCTGATTTCGAAATTTCTTTTTGAAATCTCTTTTTTTATTGTAAGTCACGCTAATGACAAAGTCATTTTATAAATTTGTCTAACGATATGCCGCGTTACTCAGCGAGCGTAAAAAATTATTCTCTAAGTATCCTGACACATTGCAGAAATCGAATGGCTAGGAGTCATCAAGCTAAAACTGATCTAAACTAGACGTCGTTAGATTTATGCAGTGATATGAATGTTCTGCTGTAATGACGAACTCGCTAGCATGCCAATGCATGTACTGTTATATCATACTAATTTCTGTCGATAATTAGTTTAGTTAATAATAAAACAAAGAGAGACGATAATATAGCCATGTAATTGCAATACGCAATTATAAGCAAAACATAAATTCCTAACAAATACATTCCATAAAAAGTTTTCGATTTTTTTTCTTTTATATCCTAAGTTCTTGGTGATTTACGAAAAAAAAACATACAATAATAATAATAGAATAATATTAATTATAATATATTGATTATATAATTAACTATAACGTCCATAAAGTATCTTCTTCATTCTTTTTTGTACACGTTTACTAAAAACACTTTTTCCACATTTCTTGTTGAGAAAATAAATATTAATATTAAATCTGAAATATCATCTCTCTCATTCGTTCGCTCGCATTCTCTTTCTCACTCTTCGCTCGTTTCTCTTTCTCCTCCGCTATTTATCACATACATACGCATACACACATATACACACATATATGCACTCTTTCTTGTAAACTGGTTATCACTTTTCCGTATCATTTGACCTAACTGTCTTTGTTTCATATTTCACTATAGTTACAGTTTATATCATAATCTAAATTGGCAAAATGATTTGCCTAGTAAGTTTATAGGCCTCTTTTTTTCTATATATGGAACATTTATCCTCGATACCCTTCTTTTCTATTTCCAGTCCTTTAAATTGCATGAGCACACGCATAAGCATACGTACATAAGCACGTACGAATGCATTCATGTGCATGTACCAGCACTTGCGAGTGATTATAAACTTATACACTCGCCCCCCCCCCTTCCCCCCGTGTAATTCGAAATAATATAAGTTGATCGCTGCTCACAAGATTAAAAGAGCTTTTTAGAGGCCTGATTCAAGAGGTCACCTATGATGGCTACTGCTACTCTGGTCGTTCATATCGTAAAGGACTTGTGCGATTGTTCTCGATGATTCGACATTGCTTAACGCCACGCCTGCCAGGTGAGGCTCGTACGCTCTAAGATGCCTGTAAATAATTCGTGAATGGTCATGAAAATCGGGACAATCATAACGATCAAATAATGAGATAATGAGATAAAATGGAACAACCGAGATTACCTTCTACCGTGTGTTGAATATATGACTAGGTTCCTAAGAATGAGAGCTGCCGTTAGGCGAATACTTTTGGTCACTGGACCTTCGTTGTCGTCCTGTAAAATAAAGATACACAGTTGACAATTGATTATTTACATGCGTTCGTACACACAGACAATTGATGATAGACAACAAATGAAATCACTGATCTTTCAAATGCTAAAAAAAAAGATCTTGTGAAAAATACATGGATATACGTAGTTCCAAACTGTATGATGTTGTTACGAATGCGTTATGGGGAATCGTGTTAATGTGTAAAGCACTGCAATTTTTCGGCGAAGCTGCAGTTTGTTTGTCTTGGACAATCGCGCGTGTATTCGACGTGTCATGTAATAGACATCGACGACTTCATATCGTTGCACCTTAACCACGTTACAACAATACGACAAGGACGCACATAAACCAGCAAACACATATTCAAACCTACATCTAGCAACATCTACTTAGTAAGTACGAGTCCGGTTGCTCTGCTGCTCTATTGAAACAAACGCTGTGCCAACACCTTCCTAACGTGAGTAATGTAAGTTGGACGCAACGTAAAAAAAAAAAAAAGAAAAAAATATTAACTACGAAATGTCGAAATAAAAATTAAAAAAGACATGCTACATCAAAATGGAAGGGTAAACAAATGATGGGTTCAAGGGGAATGACATGGTGCGCAAAAAACAGAGAATAAAAAAAGCACAAAGAGACGACAACAACAACAGCATTAAAGAAACTGTAGCTGTGTCGTGGCTTCCTTTCCAACTCTCAACACATTTTTACCTGTTCTGGTGGAGAATTTTGCCCAGGTCTGGGGGAAGAAGAGCTTGAGGTGGCTGCAGCGGGCTTGGTCGGCCTTTGCTGCTTCGCCAAGAGAGAACAAGAAATTTCGTTAAATTAGCCATTTAAAGATCTGTAGAATCGAAGACTGTCGGGTAATTTTACAGAATCGATTTACAGACTTTATATCAACAGAATATCAACATGACAGGAAGAAAGATTGTATGCTGCGAAGTGTGTAATTCGTGTGTTATAAGATTCTAAATTTGTGTATTGGTGTAGTTTATATATTGGTCCATTATCGCAGGGAGAACGTTTGCTTTCGATTAGACTTATGACGCATATACTTTGCTCAACTTTGCTCTTTCTTATTTAGGTTCTATGATTTTATTTTCATTTATAACTTCACATTTTTGTAGTAAATAATCTCGCTGCACAACGTACACGTTAATTTTAAACGTGTACGTAGAACGAGACAATAGAATTAAATTTTGTATTTTCAAGCAGAAGTATTTTTGAAACTTACCATTAACTCTTTAGGATTAACAAATTCCAGAGCATGCCGTTTAATAGCGTGGAATGCCGCATTGGGTGCATATCCGGGATGATGCGGAGTCGGGGGTGCAGACGTGGAAACTTCGGTTTTACCCGTCACTGTCAATTGTTTCCTCCTCATCGACATCGTCTAAGTGGGAAAAAAGTCACTCGATAAATTTCATTCATTCACGATTGATTAAAGCTTACGAAAGTAAAACGAAAGTAAGATTACTTACATCCGCGTTGCAGTGCCTATCATAAAGATGTGTCATTAACGAGAACTTGCGTCTTTTGAGCGCGTCGCAACTCGCCCATAGACACAATATCTCTTCGCCACCGTTCGGACAATGGGCCTCGCAAACGTGAAGATAGACTTCATGCGGTGTTTTAAATTGCCTAAAAAATTATTTGAGATATTTTTCACTGGTTCGCGTGTAATCATTCATATTTCATATTTCATTAGATATAACTTCTGTTCGATGAAAATATTTATTTCGAAAATTTATCTTTTGACTTACCTAAGACAACCTCGCCACTCGCATAAGTAAGCATTGGGGTCGATTTTGATGGTAATGGTTTTTTCCTGTAACGACTGTGGCGACTGTTGTTGCTGCTGCTGCTGCTGACTCGTGGAAGGTTTCGACTCCGGCTCAGTGGAGGTTGACGAACTCACCGTCTTTATGACCTTGGTGACAGGTGACTTCGCAGCGGATACGCCGTGAGTAGCTGCCGCTTGATGCGGAGTTGTGGGTCTCGTAGGCGGTGGCGTGGATGCCGGTGTAGGCGTCACCACTCTAGACGGCACACTAGTAGATACCGGAGTTTGCTGGGCCATCGCCGGGATCGTAACGGTTACTGTGTTCGGATTAGTTTGCGCCACTGAGCTGTTGACTATAATGGAGGTCTGCGGAATAGTGGCAGACGTAGGTACAAGGGGCGGCGGGATGTTGCCAAGAGCAGGGCTCTGCAGGATCGGACGAGGAACTTGCGTCACGACTACTTGCTGTCCTTGTGGCGTTACCGCAACCATCTTCTGTGGAGTCGGTTGCGCGGCGGCCTGCGGTTGCAATATGATAATCGTCTTAGTACCAGTCCCCTGTTGCTGCGTGGTCTGCGCCACGAGGACTGTTTGCGCTTGTCCTTGCACCAGAGCTGTCTGTGGTTGTGCTAGTACATAGTTTTGACCGGGTACACCACCCGATACTACATACTGCAGCTGTCCACCCGCACTCTGCTGTAGCAGCACCTGTGGTTGAGGCGGAGGCGGCCTGCCTTTCACCGATGTGGTGGGAATAATCACTTGGTTGGTCGACGGGATCGTTTGCTGCACGACTATCTGTCTAGGCGTCGCAACTATGAGTTGCTGTTGCTGATGCGTCGGCGGTGGTTGCGACTGCGACACCTGATTAATGCTTGCAATTTGATTGATGAATATGTGAGGTTCTTCTTTGATGTGCAGAGTCGGTGGCTCTTCCTTCACGAGAACCGGCGGCGGCACTTCCGTCTTTATATGAAGAGGAGGAGGAAGAGAAGCTGGAGTCGCCGTCGCCACCGCCACTGTTGCTGTCGCTGCCATCGCTACCGTCGCCGTTGCTGTCGCCACCACTGCTACTGTCGGTGTCGCCGTTGTCGTCATTATACCCGCCGTCGTTGTCGACGCTGCTGTCGCTGCCCCTGACACCGTCGTTGGTATTGTTGCCGACGTTTCTTCCTTTATTGTATCTTTATTAATATTTACTTGGTCTTCCAGGTCCATCTCGTCCTCTATGCAGTCCGCGGCCAAAGCAGCATAGAGATTTGCCGCAGTGGAGGAAACGGTAGCTTTCTCGCTGTCTTTATCATCATCCTGCTCCTCAGACTTTATACTCGATACTGTAGATTCAGCTGTGGTCGAGTCGACCGCTGGGTCGGGGGACATCGTGCCGTTAGAATATTTCGGTTTTTTGATATCCAGCTCATCTGATTCGCTAGCTGATCTCTTGATTCCTCGCGGCGCTTCGATCAAAGTATCCTCGGATACTTCATTCTGTATAACATTGCTGCCCTCCACATCGGGCTTTATTTTCAGTTCGGTGGGAGATTCTTTTAACACTTTCTTGATGTGATTCTCCACTAAATCCATCTCTTTCTCGTTGATCGAATTCTTGCCTAGCACACCGTTCAGAATCGGTTCCTTATCGACTTTTCTCTCAAGCAGATCCACCAACATCATGCTTTGCAACGGTTTTTCCTTCGAACCCACGCTTGACGAATCCTTAGACGAGCCATCCTCCTGGGCATCGATGTCCATATTGTTACTCGCCGGCGCACCATTGAGAAGAATACCTTCGAAACTTGTCGGCATGTTTTCCTCCTCAACCCTGAAGGAGCAATCTCTGCTACCACCGATACCGCTGCTGGACGCCAAAGAGTTATTAGTAGAATCCGAATCCTCGGCGATGGAAGTGCATGTCATGCGTTGATTCGTCTTGTTCGGTATGCCGGTGGCGACGTTGACCGTTGTCGTCAAGGGCGGACGACAGATCTTCGCCGGTGAGGAAGATATGTGATTCTCAGTCGAATTCATTACCACCGTGGTCGTGGACGTGATAATTTGGTTGGCATTATCGTTATCATTTACTTCAGTCTGGAACAGGCGAGAAGTTCGATGCAGCCTCGTATTACGCGAGATTTCGTCGAAGATTTCGCGAGTTGCGTAAGCTTGTAAAAGTGTCGATTACATACCTTCTCGCAATTATTAGTCACAACGAACTTGGCCCCGTTGAGCCTTTGTATCTTTTTGGCAGGAATGGGTGCGATTGCCGGTTTCTGCTTAGCGTTGATGGGCGTTTTTGGGAGTATCGTAGCCGGGGTAGCCGCGGGTGCAGCAGGTTGAATCACACCCGTCATCTGTTGCTGCAATAACCTTTGCTGCTGCTGACGTTGGGCAACCTAGAGATTATCCGCGGTGATATTAATCAGAAAACCTAAATCAACATTTGAAATTTTTTTCTTTTTTTTTTAAATCACATCCTTTTTGCGCAATCGTCTCATCGATTTTATTATATTCGTAACGGAATAAATATCAAGAGAACAATCGAATTCACCAAAAACCATGCTGTTGTTAGTATTTAACATTACGAATACTCTTTCACTTTACTTTTAATATAACACTCTGTTAAATATTGCTTTTATCGTAATATTCGTTCAAGAAGGGAAGGAGAGAGGACATTCTCTGGTTTAAATTTGTATTCCAAAAGAATAAGAAAATACATAACAAAAGTCTGAATACATCAACCAACACTACATCATAAGCAGACATTTCAACAAATAATGATAAAAAAAGGAACAAAACGTAAATGCAGATTTTCTATTACTTATTCTTGCATAGATAGCACACTGTGATATAATTTACTAAAAAGACAAATATCTCCATGAGAGATCACTCTACAATAGATAGCAAATAAAGTTGTTAAAAATGTAAAATTTATCTTGCTTCTAATTGCAACTTACATACAATCAGATAATGATTTATAAGGGCCTCTCTTTATTTTAAATTATTATATTACGCGTATACAACACTCGAATCGCATTGAATATATTCTTATTATCGTCCGTGCGTCAAATATGGAGAAAAAAAAATGAAATCTTCAATCAAGATTTCGATTCGACAGACATTCTAGACAAAAATAGAAGAAAAACCCCAAAAATACAAACTATTTATTCTTGTTAATATACAACAATGATACCTGGTTGCTGGTTATTAGCTGGTTGGCACTGATGCTGGATGCGATGCTAGCAGTAGTGTTTGTTACGCAGGCAGTAGGGGTAGACACACAAGTCGCAGCAGCACTGGGCATGCAGTCGCTGCTGACTGTTACCTTAGTAGCCAATAGGCTTTTTATTATGGAACTCGACGTAGTGCCACTTCGATTATCTTCCTTAGCAACTACCTGGATACATTGTAACTGTTGCTGCGGCTGCGGCTGCTGCTGCGGCGTTTGGGAGCCGCTCGCTAGCAACGCTTGGCTCAGATGCGGATGCGATACTGATACCTAATCGACAAGGAGGCAACATACAAATTTCAACCACCACAGCGAATCACAGCTTCGGAAAGTATAATTTAAGCGTTTACGTGAACACATGCTGCGAAATATCTCATTATAGCGTAGCTATTGTTTATTCAGTCGGAAGAAGCATTTGATAAGCGTAAATCACAGACAATACACCGATTCCTCGAAAATAATTCCGCTCGATATTTTCCAAGACCACAGCGATGATTGCGAATAGAAAATATGAAGTATCTCATCCTACGTAAAATTTTATGTAATAGTAGATTTAGCAAATGATCTGCAATTTTTCGCAAGAAAAAAAAACGAAATAAACATCGTTCTTATAGTTTCACTCTACTTATCTACACGGTACTCGACGATCACAGAGCTAAGTTGAGGATTCACGAGGCATGCATAAGAAACTCTCTCACCCCTATGTTACAAGGAAGTAGTTCTAGTTCGTGTTAAAAGGGAAAACCAACAGTAAGACTAGCGTTATGAAAGCTACAACACAACCAAAGTGAGAAACCAAGGTAATAAACGAGAAAGGCAGAGAATGGTATAGAGAGAGAGCTAGGATTCGGACCCACCTGACTTTTAGAATCAACCTTGGTCACTGGATTTTGGGACTGGCTCGAGGTGTTGTTGGACGGGGGTTTCGGCGGTGCGGACAATTGGGCCTTGAGGATAGGAGACGCGGGGGTGGATGTCGTTTGTGTCCCGGACGACGCGGCGGGACTATCGACTTGGGGAGCGGCTGTGCTATCGGGGGCGGGACTTATATTCTTGACTGTACGCTGTTGAACGGGAAGCACCTTTACTGGAGTGTTGACCGCCGGTATCGGAGGTGTATTAGTCGCGACAGCAGTGGTAGTTTGGCTCGGATAAGTAATCGGCGCGGGTGTGGCCCGTACTCGGATGCCTTCGTAATACTGGGTACCGGTATTTTCGCCCTTCAATGGATTCGGTCCCACGATATTGCCGAAAACGGATCTGCAGACAGAATACAGCATGTATTAAAAAAAAAAAAATGTATATTATGTAACAACGAATAACGTGACGATGGTTTACGACTCGAGGTAATCACCTGACACATCTGGGAAAATGTAATGGCGCTATGACGCCTCGTCTACCAATTTTTGTGCAGCAGCCGAGATACTTTTTGTACAATTCTTCCTGCTCGATGCGCGTACCAGGTGCGAGCTCGAAGGTCGCTTTAACCCAGCCAAGAGCAAATTGTTCGTTCTCTTGAATAATCTGCTGATGCGCATTCTGTTGTTGGATCGCATTAGCTGTCTCTACCGCTTCTATAAACGAATAAGAAACAAAGATGCCGATAGAAAACAAAGATTACTCTAGAAATTCCATTTCTATCCAGAGACAAAAAAGATTTCGATCACGTACTGTGCGTTGTCGACTTGGTTGAGGTCGCGGCGGGAGTCGTAGGTCGAGAAGACGCTGGACTGGCGGGTGCTGGTGTCGCGGTAATCGTCGCCGGAGTAGACGGAGTGGACGCGGATGTAGTCGTTGTAGCTGGCGTAGCAGGAGTGGCAGGGACAACGGCTTGTCCTGTGCTATTCTGCTGTGCCGCTACTGTGGATACCGTCTCAACTACTCGCATAAGAATACAGGCCTTTGGACCATAACTCTGCGCTTCCACAGTAACAAGAGCGACCAGCGTGTCAATGGCACCGCGGACCCGCGCGACGCTCGTACATGGTCTCTCACCCAACGACGTTAAAGCGTACAGACATTCCAGAGTATACACTAAGAGGGCTATGTCGCTTAGAGCTAGAAATCTGCGAGCATAAACATGACCAAATTTTGTGTTACAATAATAATTGAAGATATATTCGCGATTAAATCGATAGCGACAAAGGTATCGTAATCGTATAACTTTTCAGAATATTGTAGATTCAGAATATTGTATCTATTCAGAGTATTGTAAGTATTATAATTATCTGCACAATAATCTTTTTGGCACACACACAGTCTTAAATGAGGGGATTTTAAGATGATACACTTACCTGCATATAAGTTCATATACATTGTCAGCCAAACCGAATGTAACAATTTCTTCATTACTATCTTGCTGACTGATCTTGTTGAGCACCTCCAGGCAGGATATAACAATAAACCTGTCTTGGGACTCGATTCCCTTGGCTACGCACGTTAGGACGACGTCTGTTATCCTCTCGCCAGCTTCTTTTAATATAACTTCGTTCGCTATGTTCCCTAGGATATCGAAACCGAGTTGATGCAGATTACTCCATCTTGCTCTTATGCATAGCAGCACGAATCGCAGGAAACACCGATTCCTGCCTAATATCGTCGCGTTCTCCGGTGTGAAGCTGAGGTTTCGCAAGATCGACGCGATCTGTAATACGCGCTGCCCATACGGATCCTGTGTGCCTAACGTCCGACCGACGCAAAACAGATCCTTGTCCTCGTCCTCGAACTTGATTGAATTCTGATTTTGATCTTTCAGACTCTCGTCCGAGTGCAGGACAAGTGAATCCAATCGTGAGCAATCCGAAAGTACCTGGAAGCCATACGAACATCCAGAATATCGAAAGCAAACGAAAAAAATTGATAAATTTTTTTAAACAATTCACGTATGCGTAATCACATCCCTAAATGCAAGCAACAAAGTAGTAAGATAAATGCTTAAAGATTAAGCTTGGATTTTAGACGCTAAGACATATCCCTTACCCCTTCAATATCAATCGATGGCGTCGGTTCCTCGTTTTCTGTCGTCAACGCGGCGACGTCCTGTTTGCTCTGCTTCTCTTTTTCCAGGGTCTTCCGTCTAGAAAACGTCGGCAGACTCGTAGGCGGTTTCTTCATAAAGGTCCTTTCGTTTGTAAGGTCTATTACATCTTGGGAATCAAGCACGTCCGACCAGAAAGAGTTAATTGAGTAGTTACGGACACGCGAGTACACCTCGATGAAGAGTTGTCGCGTGCCGGGCGAGTCAAAGACACCAGCGTGCGCCAGAAGAATATTCACCAGACGGGGATACTTGTCAAGCCGTAGGGTGTGCTTGCCCTCGTTCGATAGGAGGGTACATACGTTGATGGCGAAATCTTGTTCATTCGGCAATGGCGATAGAAGCGATAGCGCGAGTTTGTCGTAATTCGAGGGCTTATAAAGGTCGGACGAGAGTCCATTGTAATCGCGTAGCGATTCTGAAAGCAAAAATAAAGAAATAAATAAATTTAACAGTCTATATATATTGGCGGAGAAAAGAAGAAATATCTCTCTTACTCTCGTAACATGACTTGATTTAGAAGTCGTCCTATAATTATTACACAATTATGATTATGCAATTTCGATATTTTACAGATCCAATTTTCTTCCAATCGCATAAAAATTTTTGATGCTAAAAATGTAAAACATATTTATTGAAACCTTATAAAACTATATTTGTGTTGTTTGTATATCGCAGTAAAATTCAGACAATTAAAACGAATTTCGTTAAAATATCTAAAAATAACCAGATACAGATCTGAAAATAATTTTGTTGTGTTATCAAAATAATTATATAGAATGCTTAAGCATTATAATTACTGTAAAATTAAAAATTTTTATATTTTAATAACCAATTTGAATATCCTACATGATCATTTTGATGGTTTAATAAAATTATTTTCTAAAATTATTCTCTATTTCTGGCTAAATTTTTAAATAACCTGTTATTTTTAACATTATCGTTCTTTTCGCATAGCATCTCATTGGGATAATTATACTGACAACGATCTCCTATACGCAAAGAAATTATCAGAATACATAATCCGGTGCATCGTTTGTATTAACTATATTCTCGTTATGATTACGTTAACGTAATTTTAATGAATATCACAGGTTGGATGTATAGATACGAAGGTCGTGTAAACGTTTACACACGTCGTGTTCACGTTAAAACCTCCTGATGGTTTTTAAGCAAACCTTGTATAATAAATTTCGTTGTAACTATTCAATTAAAATACGCAGCTATTATCGTGCTAGTTTATTAAAATCATTAAAAACGTGCCGCATTTCTCAAAACGCTCTTTTTGAGGATTTTCTCCCATATTGGTCGATTCAAATATATACTTTATACATATTTAGTTAAATATTTAGTTAAATATTTCAGCAAATACACCATGAACGTATTATATCCTCTGGCAGGAACAAATATATATGTATGAACAAATATATATGTGTGTGTGTGTGTGTGTGTGTGTGTGTGTGTGTGTGTATGTGTGTGTGTGTAAAATGGAATCGCAAAATGTTACAAAAAATGCAATTTTATAAAACTTGACTTTTTTCTAAAAAAAAAAAAAAGTATTATTTTTTTTAAATATTACTTAAATTGTACGTTCTTAAACAATGTTTCTGTCCCAAGCATAGGGATTAGAATATCTTCTCTTCGCGGCACGGCATTTCTCCGTCGCGAGAATAAGTTGTATCCCTGGCAATCGTCGTCATCGGAATTGTCACGCGGCCAATCTCGCGACCCTGCCGCGCTTGACGACGACTCATTGAGGCAGGTCATGGCTGGTTGATGCAACAAGAAAGCCTAGCATCACGACAATATTGCCCCGGATTGTCGTCCGAGTCGAACGACAAGTAATCTCTTCCTCTCTCTCCCTCTTTTATCTGTGTAAAATTTGTAAAATGGGCCGGCCCATTTGCAAAATTTCGAGATAATTAATAGAGCTCTATCTATTCTCCAAAAGGTTCAATAATGAATTTCATAAAGAGATTAAGCATAAGAAAATAGAGATTCAAAAATATGAAGTGTTTCCTTCATATCTTTACACACAACTTGTTTCAATTGAAATCGATTTGAGTCCTGATATTTTACGAATCTTTGAAATGCTACCTAGAACTCTCAAGAGAATGCCAGATTTTTAAAAATAAACTTGGAAATCCGTGGAAATTTATGTATATAGAATTTTTTGGGAAAAAGCCAGAATTCTATAAATTGTAATAAAATTTAAAAAATAGAACATAATTTTTTTCATTAAAAGTTTTTTTCCATCTGTATTGTTTTATCATCGACGGAGAGATATTTACGAAAAAAATAGTTTTACTAAAATATCTAAAAATTTGGCTGGATACAGATCTGAAAATAATTTTGTTGAATCACTTAGGACACTTAAACATGATGATACTGCAAATACTTTTGATGTTTTAACAACAAACTTAAGTGTCCTATAATTATTTTAATGATTCAACAAAATTAGATTATTTTCAGAATATTTCTATATATTTTTTGTAAAATATATAATTATATATAACTATATTCCACAGAACAAATTAAATGCAAATCTCTTTAGAAACATTTAATATAAGATAAGAGACATGTGTTGTGTAATCAGTTGGAGCGATAGTCAAATCAGACCGGGAAAACATTTATTCTCTCATAAATGTGTAAAACTGGACTAAATTATTTCGAGAACTGCAATTATAAACGCAAAAAAGCGAGGTCGATACAGATTGATTAGCAGCTATCGTCGCAGGATGAAATGTTTATCTGAGGAGCAGCGATATCTTGGGACCGCAATATCTAAAATAGTAAAACTAACTAATCCAGCATTCGATTTCCATACAACGGCCGATTTATTCCGCTCGATAATGAGCATCTCGTCTTTTTATCGCCATCAAACGCGATCGCTGGCTTAACGACGACGTTGAAGAAGACAGAAATTAGTCAGTCATCTATTAATGCTTCATATCGCACGTCAATTATGCCCGCATGTGTCGTCGGATTCGCACCTCGATAAGGTGATCGACTCCATTCTCAATGCACCACAAGTAGGTTGTACTCTCGGTCAAGGCTAGCTTTCTACGAGTGGTCGACATGTTCCACCGACGGAGATATATCGCGCTAAAACATCATGGAACTATTCCAGCGCCTAATTTTGATCTTCTTCAGAGAGCCATGGAAATTTCTAAGATGCGCAAGAACGAGATTTGACGTTTTATTTACTGCCTGTTGAGATCTTTCGCCTGCTAACATCTCGTAATTTTCTGACTGTCGAAAATAGAGAGCCAGAAATAAATGTAACATCTTATACTTAATCTCTGGCCCATCCGTCAAATTTCCATCTTTCTTAAATAATTTCCTCGTTTCTTCTAAAATTCATCATTATATCTGGCCTTGACTTTCACATGCAATATTCCTTTAAAGTCCGTCGTGCCTCTTTGAAAAAAAAACGAATAAGCATGAACAATATTTATGAACATATTTTTATCATTCTCGTAGAAAAAAGTTTGCACAATCGGGAATGATGTTGGATTTTTTTCGAGATGTTAATTACATCTGTATAAATAATGATTTGACAACGAATCAGTTTCCTTCATCTCATCAGATAAAAATTGACTTATTTACAAATCAAAAATAAGAAGTAGTATGTAACTTGACGTCTTTTATCTCTTTTTAAAAGGTAATTTTGTTCGGTGTTAATTACAATTACATCTGTCTATATAATGACATAGCAGTCGGTTTTCTTCGTCTAGACAGATAAAAATTGGTTTGTTTTCACAAATTATCGAGACAAGAGATACGTGAACTCGGCGTCAATTTTTGATCTTTTTTAAAAGGTAATTTTATTCAGTGTTAATTACAACTACCTGTATCATGACTTCCTTCGTCTAGGCAGAATTTCAACGCGAGGAAAACTTCAAACGGAAAGCGGAATATACGGATCGTATGTACGCGGCGCAATGTTATCGCGGATCGCAGTAATCTTTTCAGCCGCAAAACCGCGATCAATATCGCGTCCCAGGAGAAGTGTCGAGTTTTGCCGGAAACGGGGGGACACAAACCGGGAACCGGTAGGCACGGCAGAACGATGAAAGGAGACGCGAGCGAGGGCAGAGAAAGGAGGTGATTCCGAAGGAGCCAGGGGCTCGTTAATAAAATCATGGCTCGTCAACGATGCTGCGAAGTGGCGAGTATCGATTTCAAGTTGAACACCTTGTTTCCACGGCGTAATAAAGGGAATGTTGCTTTTACGTAAGCGTAACGAACAAAAGAGAGCCTCGTCGCATGAAAACGTATTATTTTTTTTCTTCTTCATCCTTGTCCAACGTATATTTTGCAACAATAATTTATAAATATTTTATGGTAGCTTTCTCGGATAAAACCGCGTTATCGGATAAAAGTTTCCAGCTTGTAAATTACATCGTCACTTCAGGCGTTAATATTTTCCGACTTTATTGCCTTTTTGACCATCGATTTTCTCTATAGTGAACTTTATATAGGTGAACTTTATTCAAATTCTACATATTTTCAAAAGTTATTTAGTTTTTATAAAAAAAATAAAAATAAAGAAAAAAGAAGAGAATCTTGTGTTAAGATAACTAAAATTTATGTCTGTCATCCGATAAAGCGAAATGCTCTTAACGCGAAATTGATTCGCGTTAAGCGCTTAGTGAACGTTAGCGAAGCTATTTGTAGTTCGTCGTTATGATAAAAGCAATATGCGGTCGACGTACTGTCGTCGCATGACATCGTGTTTTCCCGCGTTCAATCAATCCAATTCTACCTGCGTCAGTATCAAACGGCTCTATGATTAAACACCGATAAATAAGCGATACAACGCAGCGCACAGAGGGCCAATCGATTTCCACTTGTAATCGTCGAGAGACGTGCGTTAAATTCACGCATTACCGCCACTGCGCATCGCTACGCGTTCATCAATTAATAATTCGGAAAATCTAGGGACTTGGAGAAATTTAACGAAAATGGTGAAGAATTCGAGTTTAGGCACGGACCGCTTCTAAATAATTCCACTAGGAATTTTCTAAATGCGTCCGTGAACTAAAATAATTCTTGGTGCGAGCAGAGGAGGGATCATCGAGAAATTTAATGTTTAACGAAAATGTGGCGAAGGATTTGGGTTTAGGCGCGGACCGCTTCTAAGTGATTGAACGATCCCTAAATATGCCCGTGAACTAAAATAATTCTCGATCCGAGCAGAGGGGGATGTCAGCGCGAAGTGTAACGGCGGGCATCGCATGGTCCTCGCGCGTTAATTGGCGTTGCAGTCCGCTGACAAACGCCTCGTAACGAGACGAGCGCGCGCAGTGCGGCGGAACGCGTCGATGGCACCGGTGGCACGCGGTGGTCGTCACCCCCTCGCTACCCTCCACCCCTCCTCAACCTCGACCAGACGTCGTCACGTCAATCGTCGCG